GTAAGGACATATATATTTGTGACCAGTGGGAGATTGTTGGCAAAATTTGGGTCATGTATATATATGATACATATTTAAATGTGTTAGGGTCATTATTTATTAAGCCAAATAATAAAGTGATCTGACTAAATTAAAAAGGTTTGGCTAAAGGCATATGTCATGAAAATAAAATTGTGTAGAGACCATATAGCAATTTCTAATTTGATGAGGGGCCAAATTGGAAATACTAAAACTTAAGTAATTAACCTAATTCTGGTTATTTTAAGGGGTCGTGGTCCCCTTTTGGGAGCACACACACAGAACGTAAGTATCAGTCCCGTTCCTTTCTTTCTATCCCCATCAAGAGAGAAAATCAAGAGGGAAATACAGGTGTTCTTCAGGTGGAAGACCATAAGATCAATACAGTACTCTACAAAGACATCATCATTATGGCTAATTCAGGTACGCTTTCGCATTCGAGTTTACAACATGTTTATCGAGTATGTGATTATGTTTATGTTTGATCGCTAGAATCAGAATCGAATTATTATTATTATTATTATTATTTTTCCAACATTAAGTGGTTAAGCATTTGTTAAGACAATAACGAGAGTTTTAATACATATAGAATTTTCAGCTTTTCATAGTTACAAATTTGTTATAATTTTACGATAATATATGTTTTTATTAAAATTAATTTGAGTCAGATAATTATTTTTTTATTACATTGATTTGCGCCTAATTATAAAGTTATGTGTCAACTAAAAACAAAAAAAAAATCAAAATGAACTAAAACCCATTTATTTTTTAATCTCACATTGTTAATATTAGAAACTGTGATAATAATCTCACCAACTCTATTTTTATCTTCTTTTTCTCACTCCCTGTTTATAGCCCAATATTATATGATTTTGTTTCTTTATAAATATGAGAGGAAAAAAAATTATACTTTATTTTCATGATGTATTTGTATTTCATTAAACTATAAATATACAAGTGCCTATTTTGTTTTCTTTAAAAATTTAGTTATATAATCATGGTATAATTTCATTACCATGTACAAATAAAACTTGAATTGAAATCATAAATTATTATCTCCCTTATAAATTATCATTTAAATACTGAAAAAATTAATTTATTTTTTTAGAATTTAAATTTGATTAAGTGATTTGAAAAAAAGTCATTATCATTTAAGATTCAATATAAATAAATTTACAATTTTTATATATTATTCAGTATTTGTAGTTAAGCGAAATTTAGGTGTAATTTGAATATTATTTTTATCAAACGAATACTTTATCTCTACTTTATTTTAATATAATAATACGAAAAATGAATATATTTATTTTATCATTTATAAAAATAATAATAATAATTTGGAGTGTTCACTAAGTAATTCAATTTTGATAGATGAGGAGATTAATACATAAAAATATCAACAATTATATTGATTCACTTTTTAAACATCTACATCTTTGATTAATTACTCAAATTAAAAAATTCAATATTTTTAAAAGTTTTTTACAGAACTAAAAAAAAAACATTAAGATCTAAAACTCTACAATATCAAATCACACTTCTAACATTCTATCACAAGCAACCTACTCAATTAATCACATTTATCGTTGTAGCCCACAAATACACATTAGTCAATGTAGACAAAAATATACAATCTAATAAGATTGTAGGGTAAAAATTAGTAAAATTACCAAAATAATTTTTATGTAAGGTGAAACTATAATATAAATATATATTTTTTTAAATGTGGTGAACTCTACTATTGATATTTGAAACACAATAATATTTTGTAAATGAATTTAAGATGAAGTGTTTTGAAACCATATAACACTCATCAGAAGAATAAGAAGTGAGTAATGTGTAATCTATAGTGATTTTGAAGGTATTGATGGTAGTTTTGTTATGTAGAGTTAGGGTCCCTTCTGCCGTACTGCACACATTAAAGATGGCAACAATATCATTTTCTGGTTTTCATTTTGCAATGTGAAGATCATGTATTCCTTCATCATACAAAAAATATATATTCAAAGTCATAAATTAAAAAATATATAAAAGATAAGAAAAATATTTAGAAATATTAAAATGTGAAGATCATTTCATTTTGATAATGTATTTTTTTCCTAATGAATACATTTCTTTTAAAATTTGGCACACATTTATAAAAATTTATCATTATTCATAAAGATTTATAAACATAATATAAAATTTATTTTTAATTCAATACTAAAACAATAAACTATTTTAACTCTTAAATATGAGTTAATTTACAAATATCATAATTTAAATAAACTAAATATATTAATGTTATGGTCTAAATAGTGTTTTTTTAAAGCTTAATTAAAATATAAACTCAAATCGTCCACATCCTAGGTAGACATGTACATAGACCTATAGTGGTGTACCTCATTCAAGACCCATATGTACTCGAGGTCAGGGACAGGGGCAAATCTATCCTTACGCTTGGTCTTAGCGCCCTCACTAGGACCCTCACCAACAACTTTTGGTGATCCTTGAACTACCAACGACTTGCCCTTGTGTCTCCGAGACGTAGTTGCGACAGAAACCACCACTGGAATAACCTCAAAGGTTACTTCCACCTCCTCATAAAGACTATCACCTCTAACACTATCAGAAGAGGTGGCCCCAATAGAGCGCACCTCCTTGAATACCAAAGGAGATGCTCGCTCCAAAGAATCTGCAAAAACAAAATCAGAACCAAACATTTGCAACGAGAGAAGAGAAAAAATGAAGTACCTTAAAAGTCTTGCGAATGGGAAACATGAGCGAAGAGGACAACTTGAAATGGAGGAATAAACCAAAGATGAAAGTTGTTGAAGAAAAAGTGGGAAAAATGAAAAGAGAGACACTATAAAAGAATCGAACCAAAACACTTTGTATTCATAGTAAAACACCAATGATTACGAAATTTTCCCCTTATTAATGCAATGTTAGAAAGAAAAATCAATAAGCCAATAACATAATAGGGGAAAGATAAAATGGTGAGAATATTGTAATTACCTACATATACTAAAAGACTTTAAATTTTGGGGCTTGTGTACTTAACTTACCCAAAACAATCAAATATCGTAATTGTCGAGAACTACCGAGATATTCAAACTAAATATCTTGCTAATATTTGAGTATCTCGATGATATCCAAGATATTCGAATACCAACTCATCTTGAGATACTTTGAAACCACCTAAAATATCCCACACATCTCGAGTAGGTATAGTACTTCACTCCTATATAAATATGTTTTGTATCCCACTCTTTCACTCATTCTTTTATTCACATTCTACCTTTATACTCTAGTTCACATACTCCTCTAAACATAAAGAGTATCTTGTAAGTACCTTCTTATTGTCTGTATCTACTCAATTGAATGAAGAGAAACTCATATATCTCTTCTCTTCAAACTCAAGTAACAACAAAAATAATATAGGATATTTATAAATATAAGAATATTTAATTGCAGGTCAACATATTTATAATTTTTCATATATATTTTTAGGACAAATAATTATTTTAGTTCATAGAGTATAAAAAATTATCACATTAATTTTTAAAAATAAAAAATTGAAATAAATTTTCTCAATGCCTTTTAATGGCTAAACTTATATCTACACTATCATTTTAATCATTAAAAACGTTATTACCCTTTTAAATCACATTACTTGAATTTTGAATAGAAATATCAAATTTTACATTCAAAATATTTGAACATTCACCGCTACTATGTTACAACATTATTACTACTAAGATTATTTTTACCCAAAAATTTACACCAAATAAATAGTAACTAACAATAACAGTGGGTATGTTAGAGAGACTACACAGCTGTTCGACAATTCCAAAGTTTTCCATTCACACTCACGGTACCCTGTAGCCGCAATACAACTAAGCATTTTTCTCATCCTCTAAACCCCAGACCCTTTTCTCTCTACAACATTGCTTCTACTCTTTTCAATTCCTCACATTGTTTTTTATTTTTTTCACACATCAGGTGAACCCCACCTTCCCCTTCTCGTGTTCATGTCATTTGTTTATTAAATCACTCGGCTTTCGTGTTAAAATGTTTGTGGGGTTTTAGTGAGAAATGCAGATTTAAGAATGTTGTTGGGTTTTTCTTGATCGGCGGAATATGAGCTAAAGTTTTGTTCTTTTACTGGATTCGAGGTGCATTTCGCTGCATTGTTTGTCCTAATGGTTCAGTTACCATTCGTGAAAACTGGAGATTTCATTTGTGATTTGAGTAAATTACTAATTGATAGCTCAACACTTCAGATTTTGTGTATTTTCCATGTGTTTCTCTCTTTTTTTTTTTCTTTTTTTTTACATAATTGTATGATAGTGTTCAGATTGCTGGTTTTACGGGAGTGTCCCTGTAGAGAGATTTAGCATTCGTAAGTCAGGTTTTGAAAATAATTTGAACAGTTGTTTGAAATAATTTGCTATTGTTTTACTTGTTTTGGATTCCTAACTACTAGCTAAGTCTTTTCATGTCCCTTTATAGCCGCTGGTTTCATATGATTTAGAATGTTTTGTTCTCTTCTCTCATATGACTTTAATTTGTTGGGTTTTTGTTTTTGTTCCTCTTAAAATATATGAAGGGAATTTTTTAGCCACTATTCGTAGAATTCAGAGAAGTGATGCCTATTATATATATTGTATATTTATTCTTGACGACTTCTATAATGAGATAAAGTTAAGTAATACATACTCTTTATATGTTAATTTCAGTTCAAATTGTTTGGTTAAAATTTTGAATTTTATGATGACTTAAAATAATAATCATTTGAACATTCTCAATTGTCTAAAAATCTATTCTGTAATCAAGCTGTTGGTAACTAGTAATTCCTCCTGTTTCTCTATGTCACATTTAAGTATTGGATCTGAAGAATAAGAAGTGAATAAAGTGTAATCTATAGTGATTTTTAAGGTATTGATGGTAGTTTTCTTATGTAGATTTAGGCCCCTTCTGCCATACTGCACACATTGAAGATGGCAACAACATCATTTTCTGGTTTTCAATTTGCAATTTCACGATCATGTATTCCTTCATCACAAAAGATTGCAGATGCAAGTGCTGTGGTTCTTGGCGGCAAGTCCAAGATTGGATCATGGAATAAACTTGCAAGTGCATGTAATGTTGCATCCGTGCAACCTTTCCAGCGGAGCTTCACTGCATCGTCCCTAAAATCTGTCAAAAGTGTCACAAAGGCTACATCTGAGTCTAGTGCAGAAAGTGCTGTCTCAGGATTGCCAATTAATCTGAAAGGTATTGTTCATTTTCTCTGATGCTCTTTGTTAATGTTACTTTTTACTACAATTATTTCAAAGTATACTGAGTCCTGTAGTAGTGTACGAGTCAACATAACCTGTTTCCTCTCAGCTACTCAAGAAATGGTGCTTACTTGGCTGTTAAAAACTATTGAAAGTTGTCATTCTAAACTGAGGCTAATTTGTATAATTGTTCGATACATGAATATCAAGCTAATATTCAGATTTATCTGTTTTTTTTGTTAATAATTTCAGCAGAACCAGTAATTTTTCTTATTGAATTGTGTAATGTGAGTAGTTGTCTTTATATATACATGGATTTTGTTGTCATGGAGTATGAAGGAAATTATAGCTTTACTTAAAATAGCAATATATGCGTAGGTAAAAGGGCTTTTATTGCTGGTGTTGCTGATGACAATGGATATGGATGGGCAATAGCAAGATCACTTGCCGCAGCAGGAGCTGAAATTCTTGTTGGCACATGGGTTCCTGTAAGTTATTTGTTTTTTGGATGAAAAAAATGGGCACTTACAGTTGTTATACAAATTCACTAGGTTTCTGTCTGCTGACTTCTGGAAAAACACCTCCTCCTGCCCTGTTGGTAAGTTTTCCACCAATCCATTTCTGTTGATACATTTACTAACAGTGAACCATTTCTGTAGGCTCTGAATATTTTTGAGTCCAGCCTTCGGCGTGGAAAGTTTGACGGATCACGCATGTATGAAATTAAATACTGTTACTAATTTGATCTGTTAGACTATGTGATGACAGGAAACTATTTTTTCCAGATTACCAGATGGTTCAATGATGGAGATTGCCAAAGTTTATCCATTGGATGCAGTTTTCGACAATCCCGCTGAAGTGCCAGAAGATGTAAACAAGAGAGGCCTTGTTTTATTTTTTTTTTCTCATCAGAATTTATATCCTCATGCTGATTCTTTGTTTTTTTCTTTTTCTTGAAATTTGTATAGATAAAAACAAACAAGCGGTATGCTGGATCCACTAAATGGACTGTGCAGGTATACACTAAATTTTACATGGTTGAAATGGTCTTTTGGTTGCCATCTTGGATAAAAATGTTATACTTGGGAAAAAGACTGGAATTTAGTTCTGAAAATTATGATTACTTATGTTTCTGCTTCAGGTTGATTTCAGTAGACTTTTGTAGGCTTTACTTTAGCAGGATCAATGAACTAATCTGGTGTCAGATGCTGTAGGGTGTTTGAATTTTGTGAAGACAACCCCTCACCCCCCACCCCCCACCAAATAGAAACTAAACATTTTTTTTGAAGTTCTATGGAAATACCCTGAATTAAGAATGTATTTTAATTTACCCTAATGTATTTTAGTTGCCTTTCTTCCTTCCTCTCTTTAAATGTCAACATATGATTTTCTCATACATATTAAATTGTATTTCAAAACTAAAGTTTAACATGTTTAATATAAGATTATTACTTTTTTAATCTAATCTGTTTCATTCTATATTGAACTTTATGTATGAATAGCAGTTATGACAATCATGTATCCCTTTATTTAAGTTCGAATTGTGCATAAGCTATTAAACTACTGGTCTTTCTTCATATCCTCTCAATGTCGGTATTACAAGATATGTCTAAGCTGAAGCTACATTACTTTTATATTCTACAGTAAGGAGATGATTCTTTACTAGTTTCTTTTCATTTGGTTAGTTAAACATAAGATTTTTTTTTTGAGAGTTGAAGAACCCTAGGGCATTATAATGAAGTATTTGAGCCTATCAGTGTTTATGGATAATATTATGAACTGTGCCTCAAGCTGTCCTGACTACTGCCTGACTGAATATTTGAGCTTTATTATATCTTTTGTTCATTGCTTTACTTTTCAGGAAGTTGCTGATTCTGTTAAGGAAGACTTTGGCAGCATAGATATTCTTGTGCACTCACTTGCCAATGGACCAGAGGTACAGTAAATACATTAATCAGCATTAAAGTTCCTTTATACATTTGGTATCTGGCTTTAATATGAAGTTAACTGTGTGATATAGGTGACGAAACCATTGTTGGAGACATCTCGGAATGGATATCTTGCTGCAATATCTGCATCTAGTTACTCCTATGTTTCTTTGCTCAAGCATTTTCTTCCAATCTTGAACCCAGGCATGTCTCTAATCTTACAGGGCTTGCATTATATTACATCTAACTTTTGCCTATCATTTTATCTTTTACTTTTATGATTTGATTTTAGGTGGATCTTCAATCTCTCTGACATACATTGCTTCAGAAAGGATTATTCCTGGGTATGTTGATTATGCCACAGAAAGTCCTTATCATTCTGTGTTTCATAAATTTAGACTGACAATATTCATGATCTAAATAATGATAGATATGGTGGTGGTATGAGTTCTGCCAAAGCTGCCCTGGAGAGTGATACACGAGTAAGCTTCCCTCCTCCCCAAACTCACCATTTCAAGGACTGGCTCAGATGTGCTTAGTTGCTACTTCTCTTGATTTACATCATCTTTCATGCCTTTTCAGGTTCTTGCTTTTGAAGCAGGAAGAAAGCGTAAAATTAGAGTCAATACTATATCTGCTGGTATTGACAACCTCTCTCTCTTTTCCAAATTCGTGAATGTCCATTCTCTTTGTCTTGCTCAGATTTCTTCCTGGGGAAGACATGGTCGTAGGGACTGATGTGTGTCTTGATTTGTCTGACATTTTGCAAAAGTGGACATAGTCTGAAAATTTTGATCTTTGGTGCCATGGGGTACAAGAATGAGTCATATTTCTTTTGGTATCTTAAATTTGTTAAACAAATGCTAAAACCAATCATTTTGTTATGTATTGGTAATTAAAATTAGCTGTTCATTTGGGCACCTATGTTTGGACTTTACAATCTGTTATATTAAATGCTGGCTCTAGTCAATTGTATCCTTGACTGCCCCCAGAATGAAACCAAATAGTTGAGTGGTATTTTATTCTATTATATCAATACTTTGTGTATAATTAACATGAGTTAAGTCTTCCATACCATGGAATGAAGTGACCGTTTACATGTTTATTAAATTTAGTTCTCGTGATTAACATATTGACACAATATATTTTTGCCCTTAGGTCCACTGAGGAGTCGGGCTGCCAAGGCTATTGGATTCATTGATATGATGATCGATTATTCATCAGCCAATGCACCTCTACAGAAAGAACTATCGGCAGGTAACACTTTCGTCAGAATTATTCCTTGTAATGTACAGTACATGTTCCTGTTTCAATCTGTGATCATTTGCACCACTGAGTTGAAATTTTGTGTCAATACAGAGGAGGTGGGCAACGCAGCTGCCTTCTTAGCATCACCTTTAGCATCTGCTATCACTGGCACTGTTCTATATGTTGACAATGGTCTCAATGCTATGGGTGTTGGAGTTGACAGTCCGATATTTAAAGATCTTGACATTCCCAAAGACCAGCATTAAGTGGAAGCTATCCCACAAAAGCTAGTGTCACTGGAATATTAGTTTAGCAATGACGATATTTTTGTTTCAGCTACCCTTCTTTGCAATAAGCCAGTAGTATCCAGTTTTGAGCATTTTTGTAGGCTATTTTCGGAGTTCTTATCTTGCGACTTTTAAACATTTCTTTTAACAATGTGCTCAGAATGCATTCATATGATTATGAATGTAAAAATCTTTACACTGATTTATTCTCGTTAGAATTGAAATATACACCCTCAAACGAAAAAAAATTGATTTATGCATTTTGGATGTATTCTAGAAAAATTGATCTCGTAAAGAGAAATCCATAATAATGTGTTCTTGTCACAAATGTAAAAGAATGCACGTTGGTGGTGAGGGATGGGGAATCTGAAGGAACACAAGGATAGAAAATTGGATCATACGAGGGACATTTATTCATTTTATTACGTGACTTAGGTGAAATATAATGATAGGTTCAAATGTGATTTAATAAAATATAAGGACTTATTGATTATTACGTGAAATCAGAATAAAATAAAGATAAAATAAAATAAAAATTTACGGTAATTAATTTGATGGACGTAGGTTAATAAAAGATGATATAGGTTTTGTCTCCGGTCATAAGATTTTTTTATGATATACCATTAAGAAAGCGTGAAAAGAGAAATAAAGACAAAAAATAGATTGGGAAAAGGAGGTTGGCGTTAAAGAACAAACTCTCATGGATTAAGCTTAGTATTTTTATTATGATTCATGTATGTTATATTGTGAAAATCAATAATCTAAAGATCTTATAAAGTAGTTTCCTAGAATAAATTAAGAACGTAGGAAAACTACAAATTAACTTACATGTAGTATCAGAGCCTGATTATTAGATTTATGATTTTCTCTTATGATAGTTTTTCCCAAATTATGTTTTTTTCAAATTAAGATAAGCCCTAATTATGAATTTAGGGATTTCATTAGTATGAAACCTAATTTATTCCCAAATTTATTTTTCCCAAAATTAAATAAAGGAATAAACCTAATTTATGTTTTAAGGCTATAATCAATTTTAGATTGAAACTAATTTTATAGCCCCTATGCGTGAATGACCCTGTAATTGATTTTAATTGAAAAGGCAAATGGCGTGATTATGTTAGGGTGAATCATGTATGAAATTGGTTTCACTGTATGTTATAATTATGATGGAAGAAAGGTAAACGATAAAGTTGATATTTTTATGTTTTTACTGACTACTACTGATAGTATGCATCATAGACTGTGCTCCCATAGCACATCTCGCATATTCCTTTTTATTATGCATGATTATTATATGTTTTTGGTAGAATAATTAGCGATTACGTTAGATCTACCTATTATTTTGTCCACGTATAATACATGTAGTAAATGAATGCACTATCACGTAGTGTCGGATCTTGACCATTTATTTTGAGGGGACCAAATAATATATTATTAATAAATAATAAATAAATATAAAAGAAAGAAAGAAGATGAAATGATAAAACAAGTAGATATATACTTAAATATATTAAATAATCATTAAGTTTGAAGAAGACAAAATCATAAATTATATGAGAGTTACAAAACTGAGGAGAGACTGAGAGGATAAAATTGTAAATAAACAAGTATATATATTAAATGTTCATTAAGTTTGGGGGGGGCCAAAATCATAAATTACATGGGAGTTACAAAACTTTGGGAGGGTCACGATCCCCTCAGCTCCCAATAAGATCTGCCATTGCTATCACGGGATGTGCCCAATTTTACTTTATGTATAAATGAATGGTTGTTACTGTTATGGGATGTGTCCGTGTATAAATGTCTTAATTGCAAATTTTGTTTTATAAATTGAATTGAATTATTTTCGGTATAAGTTGCGCATAAAAGTTTTGAATTGACAATTTCAATAAAGTTAAGGTCTTAGGATTGAAAATTAATCCTATAATGAAAATTAAAATTACGGGTTTCAATTTTATTTATGACACATAATATTTTATTATGTGAATAATTTACATATTTATTAAAATTAATAATAATAAAATGCTATGAATGGTTAATAGCAATTGTCGTCGCCGTCAAAAAGAGGCGGTTGGAGCGACGCGATGATTCCGACTTTCCTGTTTTTCGCGTTTTTATGGGTGATGTTATAACGCCTTTACGTTGTCCGATAACCGGACTGAACCTGAGGGCGAAGTTTTTGAAAGGGTGTTCTTAGGTTGTCCGATAACCGGGCTAATCTAAGAACTAATTTAAAGGGGTTCTTATGGAGTCGCCACCGATGTTTTTACCGGAAATATCGAAAAAGGAGGAAAAAGGCGTTGGTTTTTCGAAAAACCAACTTTGGTCGTTAAAACCAGAGTTGGGTAAGGGAGTTAGTTACGTGTAAGGGAAATGTTAGTTCCCTTTCGACGCCCCTTTCGGGTTCCCTATGATAGACCAGCTATTTTATAAATGAACTTTTGAAAAGACGCTTTTACCCTTTTTATTTGCGGAATTAAAATAATGATTACATAGCCCTAATGTCTATTACGCAATTTAATCATGAAAATAAAGACAGTAAAAGAGAGGGAGAGAATGAAGAAACCTCCGAGGCAAGCTTTTGATTAATACTCTTGAAAAATAGGGTGCGTTTTGGCAGCTCTTCGCTCTTACAACACCAAAAACTCTCTCGAAACACTATAAAAAACTCTCTAAGACTCTCGGAAACTCTGGAAATGCTTCGGAGGGACTCTAGGAAGAGAATTTGAAGAAAGTGTAGAAGAGAGAGTGGAAGAACTGTGTGAAATGAGGGAGGGAGCGCTCACTATTTATAGGGATTCGCATCAGTCAGGTCGAGACGACCGTCTCGACTGACGAGACAGCGATCTCGACTTGTAAAAGTGGCGAGACCGCCGTCTCTTTCGGCGAGACAGCGGTATCGACTTTCCTAGTGACGAGAGGGCCTTCTTGCCAAACGGGAGGGGGGTCTCGCCATTGGCAAGTGGTCGTCTAGCCAAACGAGACGGCGGTCCTGAAAAGCGAGACGGCGGTCCTGAAAAGCGAGACGACGATCTCGACCCCTGAAGGCAAAAATCCTTATTTTTATAGAGAAAATCTTTCCTATCCTAATATGGGACCTAATAGTCTCTCCTAGTGACTTCTTAGGCTTCGTTCATCTTCGAATAGGAGGTCTTCTGCTCTTATTTTGAGGCCGGACAAGATTTGGGGTCTACAGCAATTAAAGATATTATTTATTTGAAATGAAGCATGATAAATTTTGTTAGTCACCAAAGTGACCAAAATTTTAAGGTTATTTTGATTTCAAATTATTAATAATTTTATTTCAATTACCCATAGTATGAACGCTAAAATTATGAATAATTGATTTATGAGTTAATTGAAGTTCATTATTATAAGGCATTTCAGGATCACCCAAAGTTGATTAATTGTTATTATTATAATTAATGAGCATAAAGGTGAATAATTTTGTGTGCGTCACTAGTTTTATTTATATACCCAAAGGTGTTAGGTGATTCTAGTTGATGTATATTTTAATTATCATTAATGTTATAAAATGATTAGCGTAATTATAGTTGTGTATCAGTGGATCTCCCAAAGGAAACATTAGTATGTATAGAATGGTTGTTTATATTTGAATATGTATTTATGTTTAATTTTTATGACTCAAAGCGTTAATGTTAGGCATGTGTTAATTGAAATATCTGTTCCTATAGCTCTACATTCACTTTCTTCGTCTGTTCCAGTCTTTAATGGATTAAATTTTCCTAACTAGAGTGAACAAGTCCAATTTTACTTAGGTGTGTTGGATCTTGATTTAGCTTTCTAAGTTGAAAAATTGACTGCTATCACTGATGCTAGTAGCAATGAAGAGAAAACTCATTATAGAGCTTGGGAAAGATCAAACAAACTTAACCTTATGTTTATGTGAATGAGTATAACAAACAATCTTAAGTTTGCTCTTCCTAAAACTGAGGACGCGAAAGAGTTTATGAAATTTGTGGAAGAACGCTCTCAAACTGTTGAACACGTAATCAAAATGACAAATATCGTAGTATGCATGAACACATAATCGAAATGACAAATAACGTAGCAAGACTCAAGTCTTTTGGAATGACAGTGGAATAAAGTTTGTGCAGTTCATTTTGAACTTGTTACCATCTGAGTATGGTCCGTTCCAGATGAACTATAACACCATGAAAGACAAATAAAATATACATGAATTACATAATATGTTAGTCTAGGAGGAGACTAAACTCAAGAACCTAGGAAACCACTCTATTCATTACGTGAAAAATCAAGGAGTTAAAAAGAAAGTTGTTAAGAAACATGGAAATGGTACATGACCATTAAAGATTAACGAGTCATCCACTAACATTCAGAAGAAAAATGACAAATATCATTTCTGCGGGAAGTCTGGACATTTCCAGAAGGATTGCTTAAAACGTAAAGCTTGGTTCGAAAAGAAAGATGAGCATAGTGCTTACATATGTTTTGAATCAACCTTAACTGAAGTTCCCCATAATACTTGATGGATTGATTCTGAATGTACGACTCATGTTTCTAATGTGATGCAGGGATTCCTCTCAACTCGAACCATAAACCCAAATGAGATGTTCATCTTCATGGGAAATAAAGTCAAGGTTTCAGTGAAAGTTGTCGAGACTTATCGTTTAATCCTTGACACTGGATATTACTTAGACCTTATGGATACTTTTTATGTACCTAGTATCACTAGAAATTTAGTTTCTTTGTCTAAGCTTGATATTGCTGGATACTATTTTAAGTTTGAGAATGATTGTTTCAGTTTATTTAATCGTACTTATATTATTGGAACTGGTACACTTTATGATGGTTTATATAAATTGAATTTGGATAATATATATGTTGAAACTCTCATGACCTTGCATCATAATGTTGACACTAAACGTAGTTTGGTGGATGAACGATTTCCTTACTTGTGGCATAAGTGTTTGAGACATATTTCCAAAGAAAGAATG